TCCAGGTCCCGGGCGCGGGGCCCTGGTGCCTCCCAGACAGGCGCAGCCTGTCCAGGCTTCGGCACGGACCCAGGGCGGCTGCGCTGGCAATGGGCTCCCAGCCCTGCCCGCCGCACCTACGGCAGACAGCCTGCCCGCCCTGACGCTGCTCCTTCACCATGCCTCCCCCTCCAGCCCTTCCGTGGAGGGGTTGGTGGCTCCCATCCCCAGTATCTGCTGGGGTGCCATCCCCAGTATCTGCTGGGATGGGACTCTCTGTACCGAAGCCCACAGACTGGCCAAGCCGCTGTGGACCGAGAGCGGGGACACGCACCCTCCCTGCCCAGGACAGCATTGCACAGCCCTCTGCCAGCAGCAAACCACTCCGCACCCCATGGACGATGTCTGCCCAGTGCCACCGTTTGCCCCTTCCTCTGAGCCCCACACTGGGGCCATCCTGTCCGCGCTCAGCCAGACCCCACACTGAGTTTGCCCTGTCCTGCACCAGCATGGATCCAGTCAGACCAGTATGGACCCCGCTACACATGGCAGCCACCCTACCCAGCTCGACGTGCCTGCCCCATGCCGGGATAAATGTGCCCTTCCAGAGGATTTTCAATGTTTTAACTACTTGGTTTGGTATCTAAACCAGGGCAGGTCCATAGGGTCAGCAAACAATGCTGGGGAGACCCCCATCCACTCCCCGGGGTCTCCGGGCCGCCCCAGGGACTTGTGCTGCCACTGCTCGTCCTTGTCTGCTCACCCCTGTCCTTGGTGCCCTCCTTGGAGATTTGACGCATCTCCCCCATTTAGCTCCATAAACCAGCTGGGATTGAATTTTTTGTTCTCAGTCCTAAAAAGCCTGGCCGTGCCCTCCTGGCCATCCTCCAGCGGTCTCCCCTTTAGCTTCTCCTCCAGTTTCCAGGGTCGGTTTTCATCAAAGAAGGACTGGCTATCAAAAGGAGGATTTATTTATAGGGTGTCAAATACCCTGTGTGGCACCGCAGGTCGTTATACCCGGTTCCTGAGCAGCTCTGTGGCCGCACACAGCTGTTCCACCCTTCATCCTGGCCGGGCACAAGCCAATTTCAACACCTTCCTAACATCTCCCCGGTGGGATCTATTTCCCAGGAGAAACATCAGTCACAGCACTAAATAAAACTCTTCCTGGCCTTGCCCTTCCTGGGGTACAGGGTGGCACATTGGACCCCAAAATGACCGAGTCCCCCACACACACCCCAAGCATCCTTCCTTGCAGCCAGCACTCAGCAGCTGGTCACAGGCAAGGGTTTTTTCCATTTCTCTACTCTTTTTCGCTTTCCTGCCACAGTCTAGCAAGTGCCACAGAGTTTTTCCTATAAGCATTGCAGAGGCGCATGCTTGGGGACCGGTGACACAGCTTAGGACACTCATCCCCATTAGCTTTGCGGAGCCAGGCAGGTGGCTGCCCACAAAGCTCCAGGCAGGACTGGCCGCCCGAGCGGTGCCTGCCTGGCCCCCGCACCCCAAGCAGGATCCCTCCGGTCCCTGCCCTGCATCTCAGCCCGGTTCAGTGTCAGTGTCACAGGAATGGGATCCTGACAGTCTTCCCCACGGACGCTTTCCATATAAGGCCCCCCTCTTCCTTCACGCCCCCCCCCCGAGGTCCAGTGCCTGCGCAGGGGAGGAATTGCTGGCGCGCCTACATACGTCTGTAGCTTTCTTCTCTGCCTGCTCCAGCTTCTCCTGGGCCTCCTTGACGGACTCGGAGTACTTCTCCACCTCATCCTCCGTGCCCTTCAGCTTCTTCTGCAGGCCCTGCTGTTCCTCCTCCAGCTGGGGAAGGGACAGAGGGTGTGGGTCAGAGGGGATGGCAGTGCCCACAAGGCTGGGGAGGGATGGGCATCCCCCTCCCGGGGACACCCAGGCTGAGGGCACAGCAGGAGCACACAGACACGTTCCCTCTGTCAACTTTGTGGCTACATATCCTTGGGGAGCCCTTGGTCCCCAGGTCCAGAGCAGCCCCCAGCATCCCTGAACCCAGTGGGGGTAAGGGGGTGGTGGGCTCCCTCCCTGCGTAGGGGACTGGAGAGGTCCCAACCTGGGGACACAGCTCCAGGGGTCACTGAGAAGGTCCCCATCTCTGTGTGGCTGGGGTGGGAGTAGGCTGTCCCCAAGGGTCTCCTTGGCAGATGGATAGGGAGGTGGCACTGGGGTGTCCCACCAAGATAAGGCATATTTGAGGGGACCAGCATGAGTGGTCGGGGCAACAGGCTGGGCTGCTGGTCCCTGGGGACAGGCACCCAGTGGGGTGACGTCTGCAGGGGATGGGCACACAGCAGGGTGAGGTCCCTGGGGATGGGGACCCAGTGGGGTGAAGTCTCAAGGGCTGGGCACCCCTAGAGCTGGGATCCGCAAGCTGGACACCCAGTGGGACAAGGTCCCCAGGGCAGGACACCCCTAGGAGAGGGGTCCCCAGGCTGGACACCCAGCGGGATGGGGTACCTGGGGCTGGACACACCTCGGGCGGAGGGTCCCCAGGCTGGACACCCATCGGGTCGGGGTCCCCGGGGCTCGAGACCCTTTAAGGCAGGGGGTCCCAGGGCAAGGCCAGGGGAGTCCGTGGGACACCCACCTGCTTGCAGCGGTCCTCCGCCTGCTTCTTGTCGGCCTCCGCCTGCTCGGCACGGTCGATGGCGTTCTCCTTGTCCAGTTTCAGCATCTGCATCTTCTTCTTGATGGCCTCCATGGTGGC